AATGACAGTTATAGTAAATGTCAAATTCGGCTGACACACCATTCAAATTTTCTGATTTCTATGATCTGATAATCGTATTTTATTATTCAAAAATCGGCGAAGCAAAATCACCATAATTATATCGATAACTTAAATCTGGAAATCTATCAGAGTAACCTTACTATAGTCAGCATCGAAATCGAGCTGAAAGTCTAATCAAAAGATCAACTGCCTGAATTTCTTCTCCCTTGGAAAAAATGGAGAAAATATTTAACAAAGTCTTTAAAAAAAAACAAGAACATTTTTGAATATTGTAAACATTTTGTATTAAGATTGAAATATAAGTACGTCTTTGATGCTTTTAATGAATGTACGGTTCTCAGCGACGTTGTCAAGCAGTTCTTTTGGGACCACTAATCGACGTCGTTTTACGAAGAGGTCCATTACATTTGGTAAAAGTCTAGCATTAACACGCTTCATACCAAACACAATAATCGAAATGTTTGAGTCGACCCAGAAGACATCTTGAAATACTCTGCTATCTCTCTAATGCATTGCAAGCACTATCACTAAAAGTGTTGGATGGACGACTCGCAAGAGACTAAGCTCCTTACCCTGTGTAAGTTTAGTACCGTTTCACACAGAAATTCCCTTATTGACTTTTTTTTTTTACACATAATAATAAAAACGTCACTTAATTATATCGCATTGCAATTACGTCACGTGCCTTTGCTCTATTGACTTCTCCGCTACGCTTTCATGAACTTACATTGGCCTTTCAGCGCTATTTTTGATACTCGCCATAACAACACAACAACAGTATTTGATTATTTCGCCATAGCGTTTTCCTACTCCACATTCGTTACCACGTTGAGGTATTTGTTTACGTTTCGTTTACGGCTTATTTATGACCCGGCAGCATTCGGCTTTTGAGACACGCTCCCGCAGATAACGAAGCAGTGGTCGGGGCATTGCTGGTTTAGCTGGTGTCAACGAGCAATTTGAAATGCAAATTTTCGCCATTTGTTTACATTGGAATCCTTTCGCTCGTTTATAGTGTTCGATATGCGCGGTTGATAGGGGTTTGTGAAGTGTTGTGGAGGAGAATATTATTCTTTCAGCTTAACTATCAATTTTCGCGATTTTCTTTGGAGTGATGCGGTCAAATGGTGTTGTTTATTTTTATCCTTTTGCCATTCATCTTGTTTGTGAATTTTTCATTCATTTTTTTTTTTTGTTTTTTTTTTTACGTTTTTTGTGGCTTGTAATTTCTCTTTACATTTCTACGATATTATCAAACCATTTTGCATCTCTCTACTCCATTAATTTTATTAATTTCAATACTTTGTATTTTTCTTGCAGATCATTCTCGGCGATGTCAACGTATCAATTTTGAACAGAAACGACAAAGTTCGCTATAAAGATGACTATGAAAAGTTTAAATTAATACTCAACGTAATTGGACTGTTAATGGCATTTCTCAATTTGATATTCAACTACAGGTGAGTTAGTGTGCTGTGCAGTAAGTGAAGGCGTACGTGGCAGTCGAGTCAAACACGTCCACGTAGCGCAGTACTTTGTAGCATCGTTGGTTGTTGGGAAATGCGAAATGCTCGTTTTGCTTTTAATTTTCCTGTTGCTCACCTCAACCTTTGGCGCCAACAACCTTTGCCATCGTCTTATGTTTGTCCTTTTCGTTGGCTTTCATGCTTGAACTTTAGCGCTTGTTCTTTCTACTGACGCTATTTGTTTAGTACTTTTCTCTACGTTGCGCTGTTTATGAGTCTCGCGCCTGCCTTCCCTCCTTCCCACTACTTACTGCGCTCATTTATTTCATCATTTTCACACTGTAGCGTAATAATTTCCGTCGAAATTATTGCTTTGCTCTGATTCGAGTTTCGCAAATTGTTTTCTAATTGCATTCGAATGTCATTCCAAATATTTGTTTGTCAAAAAATGTCTACGAATTGTTCATAATTGCTTTTCGTTCTCTTAATTTACGCTTAATGTTATTTTTTTCTCGAAATCGCGTGGTAAAAAGTTGTTTTGATAACGCCAGGCCAAACTTCAACGTTCCGCGTTTGGTTGGTTCTTAAAAAATAGCATTAAAAACAATATTTTTTAGCGGCAAGTTTTTAATTGACTTTCCAATGAGCCGTAGTATGTCATTAAATCACTTATTACATTACATGGAAACTCTGAACTCCTGAAATGAACTGTTTTAAAACAGTTCGGGTCAAAGCAATCGAAATCTGAAAAAAATATTTGTTCCGGCTACCTTTTTTTATTGTTAGTTAATAAAAATTTTACAAGTTTCTTTAACATTTTTTGGTAACTCGAAAATGTCATAATAATTAATGAAGAAAAAAATTAGCAAAATTAAAAACACAGAATTTTTTATGAGGTATGATATTTTACTTCATGGAAATATGCTAACTTTTGCTGAAATTATCCCCCAAACGGACGCAAAGACGTACAACCATGGTATATAAAGGGTGATCCATTTCGAGGTTTTCTACTTTTTTAAAGAAAAAAAACACTGAAAATTCATATTCAATGGGGAATGTTTGTTATCATGCGAAAGAAAATTTTTTGGCATTTATTTTTTGAATATTATCTCATTCAAATGTTGGCCGTCCAATTTTCGCTGACTCTTTCTACTGTTTTGACAAGTAACTGTAAAATGACATGTATGATGTTTTCCTCCAAGGCTTGCACCAAAGCAGGATTGTCCGCATAGACTTTAGACGTTACATATCCCCATAGGAGAAATTATAACGATCTGATATCACACGATCTTGATGTCCCAACAGACCGGTCCAAAACATGAAATTATCTGCTCATCGAAGTGCTGTCTGAATATATCCATTGGTTGGTGCGATGTGTGGAAAATGGCGACGTCTTGTTGAGACCAAATGTCGCCGAGGCCAAGAGCTTCAATTTCAGGCATCACGGAGTATGTTATCAAGATGCTTTAACCATTGACGGTTACGATGATTCCACCTTCCCACAAACCACACTAAACTGTTTTTTTTTTCCTGAATGAAATGGCAGGTCTTGAATCTCTTCAGATTGCTCTTCGACCCAAATGCGGCAGTTTTCTTGTTTACATATTCATTGAGCCAGAATCTGCCTCATCGCTGAACATAATTTGGCTCGAAAACGTCGGATCTTCTTCGAAGTTTTCAGGAGTGCATATAGCTAAGGTCTCAAGATGGATGAATAATACGCTCAGAAGGCCGATTGTGTTGACCATAAATTAAGCGAAGCGCGCCAAGCACGTTCCCTACAGAACGTGAATTTTCGTAATAATTTTTAACGATTTCTAAACGTTCTTCAGGCGTACAGACCGCATCTTAATATCACAGCCAATGGGTTTAAAATTCCGCCTGTCAACAACCCTAAGATTTTAGGCTTTACATTTGACAGCCTGTCCCGCGCCACTCCTCACATGACTGCGAATTATGCCAAAACGCAGAGCCGCTGCAAGATCCTCAAGCCGCTAGCCGGCAATTGGTGGGAAAAGTACAAAGAAACTTTGTGGGAAACATAGAACACAATTGGACGCCCAGCTGTTGTTATAACGGCATAAAACATTCCTGAAGTTATTTTGTGGAATAGTGGCGAGTTGACTGTCTTGGGCTGGATAAAAATCCGAGTCCTTTCCGTTTACTTAGACCCGACTTTCGAGGGAACAACCATCAACTACGCTACACTGGTCGCCTGCATGTAGTTAAATGCAAACGAAGAAGCTTCTGACGTGACAGAATTCTGCTCGCCATGTAATAACAGGATGGCTCTTGATGTCTACTACAAAGCACCTGCACAGTGAAGCCTGCATGTTGCCGATTAAGTAACACAATGCAGTTCTCTCCCAGTAGCTTTTGCTTGTTCTTGCCTTCCCACGACAGTCGGGTTTACGTAACGTACGTTACGTAATGATTACAATGATTTTTTGATAGTGTTCATAAAGTTCGCTTTAAACACAAAATAATTTTCAATATTTTCCAAATGAAGTATAATACAAAATGTAGCAAAATTTTTGCTAAAATTAAGAATTTGCTTTCTATCATTTTGGCAGTTTTTAAATTCCCTAATACTTTTGGAGGAGTTAATTTGCTTTCACTCCTAGTCAGCACCTTTTAACTCTCTTGTATTATTTATGACTCTGGTTAAATAATCATAAAACACTACTCATAAATCATTGCATACATTTAGGTGCATAACTTGTAGTTTAGCAAAGACCAGCACCTAATGTAATTGTATATTGAAACAATTTTCCTTCTCATTAGATATTTCTTCAATTACGTTTATATTGCATTTTGTGAAATAAAGACTTTGTCCATTTGACCCCTCCAAATCTACAAGTTTAATGTTTTAAATATCACTACCTAATTGTAAATTTTTCAATTTTATTTATATATATTACTTTGCGACAATATTTTCTTAATTAAAATTTTTTTTCTAATTTCATAATTTTTTTCACTAAACCCTTCCTCTAAACGTCGCCTAATCCACATATGAAAGTAATATGACATTTGTTGCCTTTCATCCACAGGGCCCTCGAGCTGGCTTACATATTCCTGCTGGTCTGGTATTACTGCACCCTCACCATACGTGAATCGATACTCAAAGTGAATGGATCGCGCATCAAGGGCTGGTGGCGAGCGCATCATTTCATCTCAACCGCCGCTGCAGGCGTATTGCTCGTATGGCCGCAGGGCGAGCACTGGCAGTTGTTCCGCACACAATTCATGTACTTCAATGTCTATATCAGTAAGTAGTCAAGTAGCCGTAGCCAAGCTGCAGACATACTTATCATGTCAACAGTATCATTTGTATTAGGCGCGTTTACCCTTCCCTTAGCGCAAACACACCCAATACACACGCGAGCAAACTGGCTGACTTACAAATTGCTGATTTATTTGCCGTGCTATTACCTATTTATTATATGCACCAACAACAACAATATTTTTCTTTTTTATGCTTTCTCCACCTTACAGACATTGTGCAGTATCTGCAATTTGGCTACCAAAAGGGTTTGCTCTATCGACTGAAGGCGCTCGGCGAACGTCACAACATGGATATCACCATTGAGGGTTTCCACTCGTGGATGTGGCGTGGCCTGAGCTTCTTGCTACCATTTCTATTCGGCGGCTATACATTCCAAGCATACAATGCATGGACATTGTACAAGTTGACAACGTATCCACCGGGAGCACCGTGGCATGTAAGTATATGCTTGAAATGCGACTGCCGCTACTTGCCGTAAGCGTCGCATACGTCAGTCTCTTAAGTGAGCGCTTTTCAAGGATATTTAATTTGCTGTTGCTGTATATTTGTTGCTTGCCTGCTTGGCTGACTGGCTGCCTGTGTGATTTATTGTGTGGGTACTTGAGTGACAGTAGGCAGCAGCAGCAGCTTGCTAGGCGCCTTGCTGCAAGCACATCCACACTTGGGGTGCAACTCAAAGTGTCTGCACGTGTCTCATACATATGCGGCTGTGTGTGTGTGCGTGACTTGATTGCGTGCTGGGCTTAATGCATTGATTGATTGTGCCTGATTTGCTGGCTAATTGATTAATACATTTCAGCTAATTCGCATGCGCTGCTGCTGCCCGGCATGTATGCGCGTGTATGTGCTTAATCTTTGTTGACTTTCCGCCTTTTATCGAGCACTCACCGTTTTCTGCATTATTTAATTTGGCTGACTCAACCATTTTTCATGTTACATTTCGTTTTTCTATTTTTTTGCGCTTGTTGCGCTGTAGGTGTCGGTGATGTGCGGCTTCTTCCTGCTGCTGTTCAGCGGCAACATTATCACCACACTGTTGGTGGTGCCGGAGAAGATACGCGAACGTGCCAAGGAACGCTATCGCCTACAGTCTATGGGCACATCGATGAAATTGCGCAAAATGATGAGGGTGAGTATGGAATGGTTGAATGCCAAAACATTCACTTAAAATTGTCTGTGTGTTGTAGCACTTTAATTACATTTAATCACACTGCATACTAGCTAGCTTTACATAAGAAATTGCATAAGTTTAAGACAAAGTTTATATGATCTCATTTTTTTCTGCAAAAACGCTTGTGGGTTGGATTTAAGTTGAAATCTAACATAGTATTTTGGTTTTCCGAAACTTATGGGCTGTAGTATGTGACACCTGAGCTTTTTACAAACCTAGAGCTTTCATTTCTTATTGCCTATTTCTTTCTATTTCTCTATATAATTAATAGATATGTTACTAAAAACAAAAAAAAAAAAAGATAATAATAATAATAAGACGGCTTTAAAAATAATGCTCTAAGAGCTTAAAGCTTTCAATTTTTAAATTATTACAATTATGTCATGCATATCTAAGCTAAAGTTAAAAGTAATTTAAAGTAAAAATTATTTGCGTTTAGAAATAATTTTGCTTAAAACTATAAAAAGCTTTTAATTTAAAATGGCATTGTACGAATTATTATAATTTATATATACTCCCATAATGCAAATCAAATTGTTGAACTAATTTTTCTATTATAAGTTTAAGTCAGAAAAAAATTAAAATATTCGAAATTTTGAAAAAGCGTTTAAAGCTCCAAAGAAGCTTTGTTTTAGCTTGTTTTACAATTATTTTAGACATCTCAAAGTGAAATTAAAAATAAATTTAAATAAAAATAAATTGGATTTAAAAGCAGCTCTAACTCTTTTTCTAACTATATATTATCAAATTGTAGAACTAATTTTTGTAAGTTATAGTCAAAAATAAATAATAGAAAATAACCCAAATTTTGAAAAAGCGCTTTATAAGTTTAAAGTTCCGAAAAAGTGTTTAGTATTTATTAATTATTTCATACTTTTCAAATTTAAAATAAATTTAAGTAATAATAAAATTTAAACGCATTTTTGGCATCAGCTTAAAGCTCTAAAGCTTTTTCTAGCAATGCAATGTTCTAACTTTTATGATTTTTATATTATACGCCTGCAATGCAGTAATTGAAATTAAAAATAAGTCAAATTTCAAAATTTTACTTTATAAGCTTAAAGCTCCAAAAAAAGATTTTAGATTTTATTAATTATTTCATACTTTTCATATTAAAATTAAAAATAAAGGCAAATGAAAATAAAATTTAAACGCAGTTTTGGCATCAGCTTAAAGCTCTAAAGCTTTTTCTAACAATGCATTGTTCTAACTATTATGATTTGTATACGCCTGCTATGCAAGAAAGAAGTAAAGGAAAGAAGTTATTGAAATTAAAAATAAACTGAATTTCAAAATTTTGCTTTTTTTAAGCTTAAAGTTCCGAAAAAGCTTTTTAATTTAAGCAGATGCTTTATCAACTAATCTTTTTTAAAATATTCTTACAATTAAAAGTAATATTTATAAGAATATTTTGTTAAAAACTCAAATTTGGATAAATAAAATTTGAAATGGAGTGAGTTTAAATCTAATAAATGCTTTTTAAAATAAAAAACAAATAAGTAAATTAAAAAAAAAATCGGTAAAAGCTAACATATTTATATTGACATTTAGAATTGAAAAATAATTAAAATTTTTAAAATATTTGTAACTATTCTAA